TTGCTAGGCTGTGGCCAGGCTTTCCCCTCCAAGGCCGTATCAGAGCTGTTTTTCCTTGTCATTAAAATTCTTTGTGGACCACACTTTAAGGGCAGAATAATATTTTACCGTTGCGTTGTGCCGTAATTTATTTAACCATTTTCTCTATTGTTAGACATGTAGGCAGTTTCTGGTATCACACAGCCATAAATAACGCTGCTATGAACATGGCTGCTACATAAATTTTTATGCACCCACCTATCCCTGATTGTTTCCTTATGAGGGATTCCAAGCAGGAGGAGGACCCGGGGAGCTGCATGAGCCCTTTTTATGGCTCACCCCCCACACTGAGTGGCATCTGTATAAAGATACCCGTCTCACATTGTCCCTGCCAGCACCGGGTGTTACCTCTTCAACCATCCGGTGGCGTGCCATGGCGTGCCTTTGTGCGTTATCTCAGCTATACATACGAGAGTTTGGATACACTGGCTTTGTGAGATTAAAAGAAAAAAAAAGCCAGAATGTTCTATCCACGTCACCATACGCCAGGACTAGATAGATACTTAAGTTTTCAAGAAACGGTGTGCTTGCTATTCTGCTTAAGCCATGGTTTGTGATAGTGACGTGTAGCTGGAGAAACAGTTGGAGCAGAGACCTGAGCAGCAGGGCTTCGTAGATCCTCTTTCGTGAGACAATGCCACTCCTCCAGGGGCAGGTCCAAGCAGCATGTTCTTCCCGGGACAATTCGTGTCCATTCTTTAATCCTGTGTAGCAGTGTTACCTCTAGGTCTGCATGCAGAGAAACTGAGGCTGGGAGAGCATTTGGAATTGACCCTAGTCATTCAAGAATTTGCTGGTGCAGTCCAGACTGGACCCTGCCTACCGCTCCGATCGAAGGACAACTGACATCAGACATGTAGCCAATACTGGCTTACTTTTTACTTGATTGCCACACTGGGGATGGAGCCCAGGCTAGGCAAGTACTCTACCTCAGAGCTGTCTTCCTATGTCAAGAGAATTCTCTCACACATGACCAAGTAACCCCATACAATCTGTTTATTTTACTAGATCCTTTAGGATTTCTCCCCAGAGTATAGTAGGGGACCTTGTATAGTACTTACATATGCTGTTGTTAGCTATCAGAAAAAAATAAGGACTCATGAATAATCTTATACATTCATATGCACCAAATTTCTTTAAATGTACTTAAGAATTAAAGATAAAAGTTTTCCAGTAAAGGGTAAGTTATCGTTAAAGGGAGCCATCTTCCACAAAACTCTAGCATGATGACTGTATTCCAGGGTGTAAGTGGCTTAGGAACTTCCCAGTGGCTGTATCACACAAATGGGATTGCTTTCAATATCCCAAAACATATTAAACCCTGGCACAGAGAAAAATAATGAAATGAGTTATCTGATACCATTTGGTATTGCCAACCGGCCCTGGATTGGAGCGATTTTAAAGTTACATGCAATGCACTGGTTTCTGTTCAGACAAAATAAATCTTTTGTCTTTTAAAAGTCACATTCAGGGAATACAAAAGACAGACTTCCCAGGATAGATTGGGTCGAAAGGCCTGTTGGCAACAACGTAGGAAGTGCTGAACAGTGGAGAATGGATGGGAGATGGCTGCTATTGGCTTTGGCTAGCTTGTTTTGCTTACCATCCAGACAGCTGGACAAACAGAAGACTCAAAACAAAGCCAATTATATCATCCTCACACCGAGAGAATTTTCATAATCAGTCAAAAGAAAAAGATCCAAACTCCAGATATGAAAAATCAAATGCTGAAAGCCCCTAAAGACACAAAGCAGTTGAATAACAGCATTGAAAGAGACAAATCTCAACTCAAAGAAGATTATCGAGGCGTGTTAATTAGAGCCGTCCAGCTTTGGTGCGTATGCGTTAGGCATGAAGACAGACCGTGTTAAGTTTCCCTGCAGGAGAAAGATCCCGAGTGAACAAGTGAGTGAGTAGCAATCGTCTGCTTCTTCCTGTCATTGGGAAGAAAAGCCATCACACAGATGGGATACATTTCTCCACACCAAGGGGGACTCTTACATTGGCTCAAGACATATCACGGTGCTAGGACCATTCACTGCCCATTGCCACCGTGGTGGAACACTGTCTTCTGTGTGTTCCATGGCCATTATTATCTTGAAATCAAGCCACCTGTGCTTGGCCAAAAGTGAGCACCACAAGACGAAGACCAATTATCAGTCCCTAGTATGTGTGGGGGGGGTCTTCAGACCCTCACCTGAGACTGCAGGTCCTCACCCATTTCAGCAGCCTGTAACTCCGCCCAGTTGTGTATGGGCTCTCGTGGTACTAGCAGGAGTACCCAGTCTGCAGCTCAGGTTGCCACGTATCTCAGGACACCTGTGAATGCAGTCCAACTTCATGTCGCCATGGCCAAAGATTAGCAACCCCCGTCAGCTAAAGCACGTAAGAGGTAGTGCACAGTTAAATGACAGGGGTAACTCTGTCTTGGGCAGCTACGGGGAGGTCATCACTCATGGCCTCCAGGGTTGGCATTCTTCACTGATGCAACTGTGCAGGGGAGGCCACCCACGTTCTTCTAAATAAATCTCCCACGTTCCCACGTGTGAGGCGAATAAACTCATTGGCTCACCAAGCTGGAGTTGTGTGGGTTCGTTTCTTTGGCCTGTTACTGTTGCCCAATCTCAGGCGAATGGCCATTCACTCGTGTCTCCCCAGAAAAGGCGCACAACGCTTGGCACCTAAACAGGGGCAGAGCAGAATCCAAGACGAGCTTTGGACGAGCAGACGCACCGTGCCTGGCGTGTCACGGAAACGAAGCGATGGGAAGGTGGAGTAGCCATGGTCACAACTGCAGTGCCTGGGTGGTCAGCTCAACTCTCTTGCGACAGACGCTGCTGCACTGCCTCTCTGCCATGAGTGAAAAGACACTTGAGGCTGCTGTTGAGAAGCTGAAATGTCCCCTGGTGGGGATCCCTGGGGAGCCATCCTCTTCTCTACTGTGTATAGAATGATGCATCTCCTTGACACACACGTGGTCTGCCAGGACAATGCGGGAACCTTTTGAGAGCCCAAGAATGGCCAAGGACCAAGAACATCTTGCAATCCCTGGGAGGGAGCAGCATATGAGGAATGGGAGTGTTAGGGGCCGTGGAGGAAGCAGTAGCGGCACCTGCCACGGGTCCGAGGAGACCTCAACTGAAGCTTAGCTGTCTCTGCCCATGTGAGGAGGCAGCTACGGGGGTGGGGGTAGGGGTGGAGACCTGCTGGTGTCATCCTCCTCTGTATCAGCCTATGATTTGGTAAGTCAAGTAGACGGAGGCGAGGGAGAGGCAGAGGGTCTTATTCGCCGTTCCTCGCAGCCAGGGCGTGACAAAGGGAAAGGGCCCCCAGATAAATCTGAGCTAAGCAGCCCTTTCTAGGGTCCAAAAAAAAACGTTTTTGAGTCTGGGAACCGGGGAGAGAATGCATAGCAGTGACAGTGAGTGAGCTATTGCAGGAGAGGAGAACCTGTGTGGTGCCCAATTCCCCAGGCCAGACAGAGCTCTTCACAGGAGAAAGTTCCGCAGAGACCCGAGCCTGGTATCGGCTCCTGTGACTCTTTATGAGGTGGGAAAGGCTCTGGAGGATCCGAGTGACTTAGACCAGCATGTAAATCAGGTTTGTGAAGAACTAAAGCACTCGAGAGACGGGAAAAAGAAAAGAGGGGATGAAGGGGCCTGTCCAGGTCACTCGCAGAAAATGTGGCAAGGCTGGTACGGCGCCAGGCTTCCTGGGGAAACGCTGACAGAGAGCCAAGCCCTGCGTTTGTGAGTTTCTTGGAAGGCTTTAAAGCCTGCACAGTTCACAGAGGGAGTGCAGGTGATCCCTGCGGCCAGCTGCTGTGACTGAAGCAGATCTCATGGGTGGGCACCGGGCCAGCTGCTTCCCTAACAGGGAGGCCAAGGCTGCCTCCCCAGGTAACCATGCAGAGTGACCATCACCTATGAATTCAGCTGGAGACTTGCTGGTCCGTTTCTAACGCGCTTGGGTGGATTCGGGGTCCAGGTACTGATTGGGTCCTGGTGGCCTGAAGGGACATAAGGAGAAGGGCGCCTTCGCGATGGATGTGGGGCCAAGGGGTACATGTAAAAGGACTGGCCTTGTCCTGCAGGAGGGAGGGTTCACATCTTCCCTGAAACAAGTCGTGTGTAATGCTTTGTGTATCTGGATGACCCATATTTATATTTTAAAAGACCTTTGAATTTGTGTGATAGCAATTCATAGTCATCAGAAAGATCAACGAAATTGAACACTGATTTTGTCACTTAGAAATAGTGGCAAGGAGCACTGTGCACTGATTTTTCTTCATAAATACATGGGGCAAAATTGGCCTGCTTGTTCCTATTATAAGGCAAGAGGTCAATGCTAAGGGCAAAAAGAGGACGAAGAGCCTTGGGTAACACCAAGTCAGATGCCTGACGCTACCCTTAAATATCCCATAGTCACAGGATTAACTATAAAGTCTTCATTAGACGCCATACAACCAACAGAACACTAACAGATAAGACAACGCCTTCAGGAAAGTAAAAAGAAACTCCAGAACAGAAGACCTTCCTAGTCCCCAGACATCACCAGACAAAGCTTCAATAAAGGGGACAGTGCCAAAGAAGATGGATTTGCAAATCATTAAAATCTAGTTCTCCTCTACTCGCTCCCCCGCATCTCCTCTCTTTGCCTCAAAACATAACACCATCAGCAAGTTTTTAAGAGAACGTTATCATTTTGTTCATTATAGGCACACACACTGTGGTTCACCTCTTCTCCATCAGCCCTCCAAGTCCTCCTGACCGCAGCTCACTATCCTTGCTACACATGTGGCAATGTTAGACTCTCTAAATGGAAGTGTATCCAGTATTTGTCTTTCTGTACCTGGCTTATTTCACTTAGCTCAATTTCCTCCAGACTTTATCTACATCCCCTCCCACAGCAAGATATCCTTCTGCCTTGAGTCTGACTAATATTCCATTGCCAGTACCTACCTCTCCTCTGTGGTCTGTCTGTCTGCTACACAGAGATCCCTCAGTCCCTTCCGTTTCTTCACTGCTTCCAACAGTCTCGGCAACAATATGAACTGAAAATAAGAGAGCAGGTGGGCAATGGGCTAGCTGAAGGAACTTATCCCTCAGGAGCCAAGCTGGAGCCCCATGCTTCAACCCAGTCTTCATCATCCAAGCAGGTCTCTACAGCCTGAGCCTTAGGGCCGGCTGCTGCCTCCCAGTTCCCTGAAAATTCTCGTTTCAATGGAAACCCCATCAAAGGGAGCTTGAAAGGTGTAGTGGAGCTTGACGCCAGCCTACCTTCCAGAGCAAAAGCCTGTCTCAAAATGAAGGAAAAGAAAAGGATGGGGTGGAAGGCAACCATGGAATGCCCGATACTAAGACAGCCACTCTGAGCTTCATATTCTAAACTCTGAGCAAAGAGCCGGCATGTGCGTGTGCCAAACTGAAGCTGGTCTGGTCAGCAAGCCCCTGCTGGTGAGAGGTGATGGAGGCCTGGGTCCCTTCTGGATGCTTACTGAGCATCGCATGTGTGCGGATGTCCCAAACTTCATGCTGATGGGAAAACACATAGATACGCCATCATTTAGTTTTGAGGCTACTGATCCCCTGACACATGGCTCAAATGCACTGAAGGATGAAATGCTTTAATTCATTGCAACTGAGCAAGCTCTCCTCAGCTGGTGATGGCTCTTGTGGACGAAGCTGTTAGATGCTTTGCCTAGTTTATCGTGCAGGGTAGGAAACACCAGCTTAGTTTAGCAAACCAGGAAATTGATACTCAGGGACGGAAAGTGACATGCCTAAGGTCACAGGATGAGGCAGGGCAGGGATCCAAAAGCAAACTGAATCCGTGACACCATAACTTCTCCACACTTACACACATGGGCGTGAAACTTTGATAGGGGATAAAAATAAAACGGACCGTCGCATCTCTCAGGCATCAGCTCTGTTTTAGTTACAAAGCCAAAACAGAAAGCAAAGCCAGAGGCAGGACCCACACTATCAATTCCGCCTACCCATGTAGACTGCTGGCCAGTGGGCTTGGCGAGCAGCTCCAGCAGTCCTGGCTCAACGAAGGCCTGTGGTTGAGCGTGTTTTATTGCATGCCGAAAGTCTAAGATTGCTTGGGCTCCAAGAACAAAAATGATTGAGGGCAAAGAGGGAAGGGAGGCTGGAGACTGCCCCTTCTAACTCTGAGGGTGGACACTCCAGCTGGCGAGCTGCCGCCCGCCTCCACAGCACGGCACCACGCCCCACTTCACGGAGGCCCCATCTCCACTGCCTGGGCTCCCACGCCTGGGGAGCCTCCATCTCTAAGTTAGGGCCAGCCATTCAAATCACATTACACTGTAAGTGGTTCTACAAATTGTTAGCCCTAATGAAATTTAGCAAGCAGCAGCGGGAGAGGTGCAAACAGTTGGAACTGGTTTCTTGGGTTTCGGGCCCCAATACAAGTGGTTGAAGCGTCTCATAAAAAAAGATAAAACAAAATAAAACACAGGGAGCGTGGTGGACTTCCTGCTGTCACAGGGACACCTTCTTAGGGTTCTTTTTTTCCCATCCCAAAAAGTAAAGAATCTTAGTGATTTCTTCACCCAGGAAAAAAAGTATTTGTTGGTAGAGGTCCTAGAGAAATGTGGAGGAGAAGGAAAACATTGGAGTGCGTAGGTCCCAAGAGAAGAAACTCACCTGTCACCTGTCTTCCAGGATTTCCTCCAGGAAACCAGGCTGCCAGGCAAGAGCTGTGCTCGCTACACTGCAAACAGCCTAGAGACAGCAGGCTGCTCCACGGTGAGCCTTATCCACCCAACAGCATCCCAGCTGTGCGCTCCATGGCAGGTGGGTCAGGTGCAGTCCTTCATGGAGATTACAATAAAGGACTTACAGCTTACGGGTGTATTGAGTGACCACCATCCAGGCTGGTCACCTGCAAACCACTTCCGGGGAAATCTGCACACTGGACAGGACTTTGCCCTGTTCACAGATGGGGGCCAGGGGGAGCCAAAGAAAACCAAGAAGGGGGGAGAGAGAGAGAGAGAGAGAGAGAGAGAGAGAGAGAGAGAGAGAGAGAGAGAGAGAGAGAGAGAGAGCGCACCTGGAAGGGACAAGGTGAGGGCAAGACACTTGGACAGAAAGACAGAAGGACAAGGGCCAACCAATGCAACCCAGGTTCCCGTTTGCTTCATATGACTCCGTGCAAACCACTGCACACATGTTGAAGGATTTGCCTAAAGCCACACAGCAAAATGGCAGACCGTGGTGGGTCAGAGTGCAAACCAAATGGGTTGGGTCTAGGCCTTGGCGCATGGTGCAGACGAAAATTCCCTGCCTGCCTCTCACGGCGCCCTCCGATGGCAGAAGAGGGAGGAACAGCCAGGTGACCCCTATTGGGCAAGAGTCCTTGTAAAAACGTCAGGTTGGGAGAGCTTCTGGTCCTCCACTATTCTCCCTGGATCTGCAGCCTGGGCACGGCGAGTGGGAGCCACTGGGTTTCCAGATGAAGAGGCTGAAGCTGGGAGGAAGCTGGGTGTCTGCCCAAGGGCCGCAGCTGGCTGCTGCAGAGCATGCCTGGGATGCCAGGGCCGGGGTTGTGACCCTGCTGTGTTCAGTTCCTGGTAACCTGGTCTCCTGCTTCTCAGCCTCCACCCTACCCTGTAGAGCCGGTGAATCGGCACCCTGCTCAGATGCCCGGAAGTGGTGGTCTCTACTGCAGCATTCCTGTGGACCCCCACTTGAGTCACTGAATGGAGAAGATGCTGTTTTCTCAGATGCCTGCGATAGCCATGGCAAGAGCACGTGCTGGGTGTCAGGCTAGCAGGATCCACAGTGCTCACCATCACCCATAGTACATTGCATATGAAACTATTTAAGTTCAGAGAGGTTAAGTAAGTGGCCAAAAGATGAACAGCCAATGAGAAAAGTTTGGCCCCAGGGTCGTTTTGGGGTTTTGCTTTCGTTTTTTGTTTTGTCATTCATTTTTACCTTCAAGTCCTTCCCTCAGTAGCATGCTTATGGTGGGTGTGTGGGAATAAATGAGTCATTCCCCAAGTCTTTGAATCTCAGCTCTCCTCAGGCCTGCTAATTCAATGAGAGCAATAGCGAGCCCAGGTCTCAAAGAGTCCAGCTTGCTTCAGTGGAGATGGAAGATCAAGCTCTGAGAAAATCACATTCCATTCAGTACCTGCCAAGTCTTGAGTGAGGCCACTTCTGCAGACAGCTCTGGCCTCTGCAGGACCTGTGACAGCCGCTGCAAATGCCTCCCTTGGCTCTAGACATCAGTGCACCAGGCTGGACACAACAAGCTTTCTCAGGTTTGCCCATGCCTTTCCTATGAGGGTAGCAGGCATGCTTTTCATCTCTCTCTTCAAGAAAGGTCACCAGGGCCTGTCTTCTGAAGATGGGGCACCAGTATGTACCAGGGGACTAGCCTGGTCTGCGTTTTCTTCTGGCTAGGGGACCCTCATGGAGTCTAGGGATAGAGTGACAGCCTTGGGAAGCATCAGGAGAGCCAACGCATTGGAGAGGATTACTAATTTCAAATCTCGGTGACTTACTGTAGCAGGCTTTTTCTTGTAGGGCCTCCAACCAGCTCCCAAATCATGACTTGGAGACTTTTGAATGCTTGGCCTTAGCTTAGCTCTCATTTTAATCTGTTTCTCTTTAACTGCATTTTGATTTGGGGCTTTTATTACCTTTCATTCTTTCTGTATGTCTTTGCAGCTGTCTCCATGTCTCGGTGGCTGCTGCCTGGCTTCTGCCCCTTCTTCCTGTCCTCTTTTTTTTTTTCTTCTGCTCTTTCTCTTGAGCCTAGATTTCTCCTCCTACTGATTCTCTCTGCTGCCAGCCCTGACTACCTCTTCTCTGACTAGTTACTGGGCATTTGGCTCCTTAGTAGATCAGTCAGGTGCCTTAGGCAGGCAAGGTGAAACAAATGTAACACATCTTTACATAGTTAAACAAATGCAGCGTAAACAAATGTAACACACCTTTACACAGTTAAAGTAATACTCCTCTGCATAAGCAAATGTAACACATCTTTACGTAGTTAAAACAATATTCCACAACATACAGTAGAACTTTATAAGCAAACCACTCACAGAATGCCTGGGTGTGTGTGTGTGACCCTCCTCCATAGAGTGAGCCAGGGACCCGGCCTCTCCCCACTGTAGCTCCATCTACTACTGGTATTCAGGGTGGGTGACAGAAAGACACTGAGGATAATTGACAGTGACTTCAAAAACTCAGGCTCCAATCCCCTCATCCTGAAGTACACAGCACTTCCCATATCCCCCATTAGACAGGCCAAAAGTCCTCTGGTCATGCCTGCAGAGACGACAAAGCAGTGTCCCACTAGGTGACCATCTTCCCATAACACCACCACACTACTACAGGAAAAGAGAAGATGTAGGTAGAGGGGAGCTTGGGTCAGACTTAAATTCTCCTTCGTCTACAAATCAAAGAACTAACTCAGATAGCCCTTAAGAGTCTTAAACTAGAGGAAGAAGAAAACCATTAGTGGCAGATAAGAATAAACATTGCCAGGCATAGCAGCACATACCTACAATCCCAGAATTCACAGCAAGTTTGGGGGCTGGCCCAAGCTACATAATGAATGAGACCCTATTGAGAGAGAGGAAAGGAAAGAGTCAAATATTACCTTCCAATAGCACTCTTACATTTTCAATTTCTGATTTGCAGAGATGAGATCGGTCCATGCAGGTGGCTCCCAACTTGCCCAGCTAACAATTACTTATAGGTTCCCTGTTATCCAAAGAGACACAGGCCACCAAAGGGGGCTATGCAGTAGCCCTCTGTCCTGCCTACACTCAGTCTGCTGCGCCGTCCTGTCCTGAATGAATGACACTGTGAGTCCTCCACAGGGTCTTTCCTGATGAGAAGAGCTTTCTGCCTGGCATCTGTGGGGTCTGGGTGATTTAGGTGCCTCGACTCGACACCGCCTATCAATCCCTGCATGGGGCAGGGCAGGCTGGCTTCAACAAAGCCACTGATGGCTTAAGGTCTTTTTCACCTAAGTCTACCTTTATGAAGGGGTAGCCTTGGGGGTTAGAGCACATCATTTAAATATTAACTCTAATCGGTGGCTGCCTTTGTTCCTTGTTCCATGGGAGGGCTGAGATGGTTCTAGATGACACTGCAGGTGAGTGGCAGAGCTGTGGCTGGGAAGGGAGGGCCTCCCCCCACCCCCCACAACAGAGGGGCGTTCCCACAAAGAGTCCAGTGCTTTTGTTCATTTTCACTTCCAACCTCATTGGCGAGCATCAAAATGCACACTCTTATTATCTACAACAGGTGCCTCTACCCCTACACACACACACACACACACACACACACACACACACACACACACACACACACAGGACATCTAGCAATGTCCAGAGATGAAAATTTGATTGTCATCCATGGGAGAGGAGCACTATTGTCATCTAACACACAAATGTCTAGAGTGTTGCCAAATGTTCTATACATCACCTGGACCAAAGTGTCACCACGATGAGGTGAAGAGCCCTTAAGGAAAGGAGGGAAGGAGGGAGGGAGGGAGGGAGGGAGGGAGGGAGGGAGGGAGGGAGGGAGGGAGGGAGGGAGGAGCCAGGTGGGCCACAGGAGTGGCAGCAGCTACACAAGTGTCCAGCCCCCATTCTTCCTGACTTTCAAGCCAGATACCCAGATTTTAATATTTTAATGTGACTTCCGAAATCAAGCTACGTACTTTAAAATTTCTGTGCAGGTTCAACAAAAAACAAAATTGAGGCATTGAAATCAGGGCTACAGTTTTGCCCGGAGAAGGGCCGCTCCCCACAGTGAGCAAGTATAACTTTGCCTTAGAGCTTAGAGGAACCCTCAGGATTTGACAGTCCCTCACCTTACCTACTCCAATCCCAGGCAGCATTTATTGTGCCATTAGTATGCGACAGAATCCTGTTTGTGCGGGTTTTCCTGTGCAACAACTCCAAGAGCTAAATAAACTTGCAGTCTCCCACTTTAAATGCAAGGTGTTCAGAATTGCAAAGACATTCTTCAACTTCATCAAGTGACAAAGCAAACGTCAGTGTTAGAATCAGAGCCCCCCACACCCAACTCCAAGCCCCAGTCCCCCCCCCCCCCCCCGCCCCGCCCCGCCCAGCCCTGCTCCTGTAGCCTCAGATCTGTTAAGAAAAAAGCCAGCTTGCTGGATCTCCAGTGTCTCCACAGAGACTGCTGCATTTCCCAACTGGGAGTGAGGTTCTTCCCCAGGGGACTGCCTGACATGTCAACCACTGGGAGGTGGCCTTTGACATGGAGTCAACCAAGAGTACTGGTAAACCTGAACAGGGCAGATCTACTCCAGGGAGCCACCCAGCCTGAAATTCCAGGGGTGTTTGGGGTGGAGGAACCCCTAACTACGAAACTCATGACAGTCTTTGTGTCGTCATGAAATAAGCAGCCAGCAAACATTCTAGTTGATCCCATCTGCTCATCTTCTTAAACAGCATTTTACTCTCTCTCTTTGGCTCATTGGTTTTTTTTCCTCTGACCTTGGAATTGTATGATACTCTCTTCTGTGTGTGCTAAACTCGTCTACGGTGGGGAGATCATCTCGAATGGTTCTTACATCTCAGCCACAGCAAGCAAATAAGAAAGAGGACAATTCACAGGAGGCCAGCAAAAGACCAGCATTAATCCACAGAATAAATCCTTGAGGTTCAAGTGAAATGGCCTCTCATGGTGGCAATACTAGTGGTTTTTTTCTGGAAGTTCTAAACCAGTATCCAAGCCCACAACAGACTCAGATGAACTCAGCCACTCTCAGCTAAATACACATGTACACAAACATGTGCACACACACACACACACACAGAGAGAGAGAGAGAGACAGAGAGAGAGAGAGAGAGAGAGAGAGAGAGAGAGGAGCATGCTGGATTTCATAAAATGATTTTAATAGAAAAGTACAAGATAGAACAAAAATAAATAATGTTTATCTCCTTTCTAGTTCATCAAATTGAAAACCATATAAAAATCGGTCTACGATGCAAGTCCCTCCTTGCTCTGGAAACACTGTGAGAGCTTTTACCCAACCTTCTAAATTGGCTCACACCGAGCTTTCATGGCATCTGCTTCATACAGCTGGCTAACAAGGCGTTTCTTCAACACAAAGCATCATCCAGTCATCGGATGTAAGGCTAAACTCCATGATACTAGGCAAATGAGAAGATCCTTTCTTGTACGTCTTAATCCTTATATCTCTAAGTGTTTCTACAATTATCAAGAATCACCATCTTAATGTTGACAACTCCACAAAGAGCTCTGGAAGACCAGAAAAGACTTTTCAAGAAAACAAATATTTTAAAGCGCGCCTTGCAGTGATAGCCCAGTGCTTTGGAGCTGTCCGTCCATGCTCGTTTGCATTAAATGTACGCACTTGAAATTACGAGCAACGTTGCCACCCCCAGCGTCTGCTTGCACATCACTTCTTATAGGTGGACTTCGATACTGATCGCCTTAGTCAGTCAGTGTGGTTCTTGTCCACAGCTTGTGTCATCCTGTTCTCAGACCCTATCTGAAGCTTCGGGGGGGGGGGGTTGCAGAAAAACACATTGGAAATTGCTGTTGGGGAAAAAACATCTTCTGAGGAAGAATGTGGGCAGGAGGCAGATGCTGTCATAGGAAGTGGCAGCCCGGAAGGGGGAGAGCACAGATCAACAGGACGGGGACCATACAGCCTGGACCTGGAGCCCAATAGTGAGCATTGTGAACATGGTTCCATTGCCACTGCCTGTGTATAAATGTTTCATTGATGGTCCTGTACTGGGAAGGTCTTGAATGCTCTCCAGGATGGGGAAGAAAAAAGATGCTGACATTGCTACATTGAGCCTATGTTTTAGCAATGAAAAACACTGGTCAATATACAACTGAGGAAAACCTGAAACAGATGTGACTCCTAGAACCACAAGCCTTTGAATTTGCCCAGAAATGCTATTTTAAACACTCTATATGTTGGTCTACTGTTTTTTTGTGGAATAATGCATTCTTGGTTTCCTTTAAAGGTTTCAATATGTTACAAGGTTATCCGGAAAGAAAAAAAAAGGGCAAAAGGCTAGCTAATGTATCGGTCTGCGCAGGCCTGACCAGATTCTGGGGTTAATTGCACATCACACAAGGGACCTTTAGTTCCCGTTTTCTGTAGCTTTCCTTTCGTAAAAACTGCACCCACCCAAATGGGCACAGAGATGCCCCATGTGGCCCACGGTAAACTCCAATAGAGTGGCACAACAGTTGCAGTGGTGAACGCAATATACACACAGGTGTGTGCACACGTGTGTGCATGTGTGTGTACATGTGTGTGTGAGTGTGTGTATGTGTGTGCCACAAATCTGGTCATGGATGGAAGCATGAGCTTTTTTGGTTCATCTCTGGGATGTTCCAACAGCAACACACTCTAAAACAATTAAGACGCATGCATAATGCTGAAAGAATGTGAGTGAGCTGTCCTGTGACCAGCTTTACGCCATCTGCTCGATTCCTTTCTCTCTTTCCCTTTTTGAAGGAACATATATAGGAAAAGAGAATTCCGTTTTTGTTTTGTTGCATATAGAGCTCTTTTGAAGCCTCCAAATAGTTCGGTTTTAGTCAAATTGTCTGCTCTGCTATTATTTGAGTACATAGCGGTCCTAAAGCTATCCTGTGGCTTCTCCTAAAAATATTTCTCCACATGAATTAGCTGAAGGACAACTGAAACCTCTTACCAATATACAAGTAACATTTTATTTTATATTCTATCTTCCATTGGCATAAGCCTTTTGATGTTTTTTTAAACCAGTGAAATATACAAATCACACAAGACAGAAATATGTACATTCAAAGTACAGAAAAAAGGCCATAGAGGATATACAAAATATCTGAATGACGCGTAGAATATCTTACATTAAATAGTTTTTTTAAGCTAGGATTGTTAAACTCCACTCTGCTCATAAACATGAATCACTTAAAAAAAAAAGAACAATCTGATTTAGCAAATATAAAAAGCATACTTCGTGGTTTTTGTAGAATAAAAACCAAAAAAAGTGACATTTTAAACTAAATTAGTGCTTTTTCATTTCAAGGTCTTTCGCTTGCGATTCACTGTAGCTGAGGGGAAAAGAATATTTGGGGGCAATAAGTTAAGAGCCACCAGGCCTGAGGTAACCAGAAGGCCACCATGCCTGTGGAGGGAGACACATCTTTTCAAACCTTGAAGAACAGCCTCAGGCCCAACAACAACACAGCAGACGCCACTTTTGCCATAGAGGTGCCCTTATTTTAAAACATTGTTTAAACTAGCTAGCTATGTGGTGAGCTGATCAGGGACTCAGGTCAGCCCTGTCAGACAGGACAGGCACAAGTCCTCACTGAGAAACGAGTGAAGCCAATGGAGAGGAGGCTGGTGCTCCTGGGTTCTGAGTGCCTCTCAAAGTCCGCGGCTGTGACAAACCACAGTGCCCTCCCCGCAAAGAATGCCAAAGAGAGGGTGGAGAACTGGGGGTGGGAAGGAAGCCGAAAGGCCACCTTCTAGCCAACGTACATTTCAGGACACCAGCCTGGAACGCTTCTTCAGAGTCTAGCCTGCTTCCTGGTGTTCATGGTGGGATCCCAAAGAGTCACATGCCAATGTCAAGACTCAAAATTTTGGGAAGAAAAAAAAAAAGAACTCGCCGTGGGACTTCAATGAAGGGCAATGCACCAGGCAGAGAGTAAGCCCAGAGCAAACTGTAAATCTAAATCATGAACTGCACTGAGATATAGTTATATCTATATTTATATATGTATATTTATATATATGTTATGTACAAAAGTCTGAGATATCAGGCACCATTACACCACTCCCTCCCCCCCCTTATAAATGCAACTGTTCAAGTACACGAGGAACAGTTTTGGCGTACACCTGCAGGATAATAGGAGAAGCACAAATGGATAGTCTAAACACAGGATTATGACACCTCCGTGGACTCCTTAGGCCAAGTAATATCAGCAAAACACATGAAGTTACCGTACCTCAAAAGAAAAAAAAAAAACCCAAGTAGCTGTTTTTGAGCATTGCTCCTCAGGTACGTGTCCTGCCCTGCAAACAAAGAGTGTTCACTGGAGATGCCATCTAGATGTGTGGCCAGCATCGCATAGGGCACGGAGAGTCCAGAGAGGGCTTGGGGTCAAGTAGGAAGGCGGCTGCCACTTTCTCCTCAAAGAGGTATTCTGCCCTTCTGCAAGGCTCAACTACATGGGACTTCCTTGTCATCTGGGGAGAGGATCTGCAAATGGGATTCGTGGGTAATTTTCATTTTTAAGATAGTAAGATGGCTTTCAAAACGAGATAGTTTCTGGGTCAAAATCCCTTTCCAGACATTAAGTCTGGTACTCACAGAATCAGCTGGGGCTAACACCATAAGATTATGGCCTCAATGTAGGAAATTTCAAGTTTTCTAATTTCTGGGGACATCTCCCCAGCCTGCTAGCTCCCTGGATTTCACAAACTGTTAGAAAAAGGCACATCCATAAATGTAGTACCTGTGGGTGGGCTATAATAACATACGTGATATGCCTACTTATGAAGATATGATATTCTTGCTCTTACACTATAAAAGGTCATTCTGAAATACAAAAGACAGGCTGCTAGCCTCTGGACTGGGGAGTGTCTCATACTCTATTTTTGGCATATCTGTATATTTATCTAGAGTTAAGGTCTTTCGTCTTATACCAGAGCATCTGCGTTTCATTTTGGCCATAGGAACTGAATCATTCATGGTTTGTTCCAACCTCTTTTACCTGGGCACCACCGTCCCAAAGGACTCCATATTTGAGAAGAAAATGGTTCCTAAACTTCTAGATGTGAACCCCAGCCATGCAGCTAAGTTGGAATAGGTGTTATTTCCCCTTTATCCTGTAGCATCAGAAGTTTTATACTAACTTTGCAAAGACTCGTAAAATAAATATTTTTCTTGATTTCCCCTGCTATTGCCAAATATTAATTATAATATTAATAATAAACCACAGAGTTCTTAGATGGTAACAGGAATAAAAAATATATGGTTCCCGCTGCAATTCTTGGGGAAAAATAAAAAGAACCGGAATCACTGTACTTTCTATAAATAAGTGGGTCCTGGGAATGGGGCTGGGTGACGACGGGCAGGCACACGCCACTATTTGCACACGAACTGGTCCACAATCTCCGTGCACTTCTTGCACTTGACGTAGCAGCACCAGTGAAACTTGCAGTGACAGCGCTCAGTCTGCACCGTCTTAAACTGGTCGTAGCCTCGGCCGCAGCACATGAGCTCGCAGCCGTCCATGCCCTCGGAGGTCTTGTTGCACAGGCGGCCCTGTGTGCCGAGCGAGCCTGTGCTCTCGTTGCGCACGCAGTAATCCGGGCTTGGGTCGATATAGACCAGGTCCTGCGTGGTCGGGGAGTTGAAGCGGCTGTTGACCTGTACCAGCTTGCCCCGGGAGTTCAGCCTCATGGCTGCTGCGCTGTCATACTTCTCCTTGAGGGCATCGCCCACCTTCCGGAAGTCCGCCAGCTGCAGCCAGCACGTCTTGAGGCTGCATGAGCCGGACACCCCGTGGCACTTGCAGGCTACGTCTGCCAGGTTGTATACTGTCTGCGGAAGGAAAGGCGGAAGGTTACTTGTTACTGTGCAGCATGGATGGTGGCGGGCCCCGCGGTGAACAAGGCTGCCCTCCACTTCCTAGGGGCAGCCATATCTTTTGGCTGAGTCAAGGGTTGTGTTACTTCTCCACCCCCCACCACTAGAGATATTGCTATCTTCTCTGAAAAACACTACAACTCTCTGGCTTTCATCATCTCATCTGCAACCGGGAACATTCAAAGGGGAACAGAAAACACAGCATTCCAGCCGCTTCCGCTTTGGCAGAGAAATGTCGTCAGTACCATGTGACAGTGTATTTCTTGCCTGTCTTCCCCGAATGCAGACCCGCATTCAAGCCTCTGAATTACATGCTGCTGTCCTATTCACAGAGTAGGGAACAGAGGCCCAGAGAGGTGAGTTCCTGCCCAGCCACTGGGAAGTAGAGAGTGCCAGTGTTTGAATCCAGACAGTAAGCCTACATTCAACGACTTGGTAAGTGCTGGGTTAGGGAGGGGTCAGCGTTCCAGTCTTCGCCCACCACACCATATTGCTGTTGTCTCTCCACTGTCAGGACAGCCCTGACACTTGTAATCTCATCCAACCACACTAGCAAGCAGCTTTGCAGCATGCGCGGGAAAAGATGACAGCACGGTGACATTGCAAGGGTAGGTGACTTGCATAGGTCACACAGCAGGGTATAGGGAATTTGGGCTGGGTCTCAGTTATACTCACTGCTATTCACTTCGGAGTCCCTACTCTGTCCTGCCCCACCCTAGGTCTCAGGGACCACCTTGCAGCCATGGACACAGGATGTCTTATTTTGCCTCTGAATGTGGGCAACTAGCTGTCCCTTTCTTAGCCTATCTGCCACCTGTGGATGGCACCAGCTTCCCAGCACAGTTAGACAAGGAAGCACTTGGCCTGCCAAACCTACTCAGTAACTCTGGTCGTTCTTCAGGGTGATGGGGCCACGGCCCTGGGTTTCTGCCCAGTCACCTCGGGCCTCCCAGGAGCAGTGCTCATAGGTCTGGCCCCACGACACTGTGCCCAGCAGTCTGGGAGGTGGTGGTTGTCTATTTATAGTCCTGACTGCCCACAGTCCCTCATGCCAGCAAACTTCCAGAGTCATCATGGTGTGGCAGTGCTGGCCAGGGCCTGTCCAGAACCTGGAGCTACTTCTGCCCAAACAACCACCTTCCTCCTCCAAGCGCTCACAAGGACTTTCTTTTGATGGGGGTCACAGTATGTTCTCAATGCCATAAAGACTTTCAGTCTGAGGAAGGTTTTGTAAATATGTTTAACCTTTGCTCCCTTTTAAAGAAAACCAAAAGCCAATGCCCCAAAAGCAGTTTTAATATGATTTCCTGGCATGGTGTACAACTTTCAGAGGTACCCGACCCCCAACTTAGAGAATATCTGGTTCCTGTGTAACCTTGTTGACCAAACTCCTTCCTTTAGCTCATCATTCCCATGACAGAACACAACCAAATAAATGTCACATTTCGAGATGTGACAACATCAAAGTATCAATGTCAAGGGCAACAAAAATAGCAAAGGCACTTCTCAACTTCTCCAGAGGTCCCTCTTGACACTTGGAAATGCTTGACCCTCTCCTGTCAGTGGACAAAGCCCTTCAGGGGCTTCTTTCTAGGAAAGAAGTGACAATGACGCCCCAAAGATGGTCTGGGACATTTCTGGCTGGACATGCCAGTCCGGTCCTACAGACGGGAATGATGCCAGGGTGATGGGAGTCTTTGAATGGGCTCTTAGGGGGTTTCCTAATTTTTTATTGAGAGTAAAGACAAGTAGAGAGAAGAACTGTCACTGTCCCCAGAGAGCAAGGCCTGAGCAAGTACACGCTGTCCTTTCTCTGTGGTCATCACCTGTGCCCCTCAGGGAAGCATAAGCAAAATCACATTGCCCTCAGCCCCTCCCTGTCACCCTCAAATGTTTACCAACTGCTTTGAGAGGAAGTTAGAGGAAGTTATCTACACAGTCTTTGACTTCTCTAAGTCATATTATTCTTTAACGTTTAATAATTAGCTTATCATATTTATCAAGTACTGACTACTGACTGAGATTGAACCAAAGGAAACACTGTTGTAGGTCAGATTTCCTAGGGTGCACCCTAATATCTTTGTCTTCACAGTGACTCCAAGTGGGAGCCATTCTGCAGAAACTGAGGCTCAGAAACCAAGAGAGATGGACCTGATTTTAGTGCCGGTATCTCCAGTAGCCACGGCACAGCTCTTCAGCCCTAAGTTCTGAAGAGTGAGATTAATGCAAGTTAAGGAAGGTCTACAACACAGATCTGCTGACTGTGGCACACAGCCACTATGTGGTCCTCTTGGCCTCAGTTTCCCAATCTGTGAGATGAGGGTGTGGGACCCGAGCTTCTAAAGCTCCTTCCAGTCCTTGGGTCTACACTGTGATTATCTCTTCCTCACCCCAAAATACAGAAGAGTGAAATCTGTGACCAGAAAGTTCCTGGCACCTACCTTGGGTTCTGTGGAAAAAAAAAATAATGGCCCTGGTTTTCAGTGCTGCCAAAGTTAAGAAACATTTTCACCCCTTCATTTTAAAGCAGCCATAAAGTGCCATGTGTTTAACCGCAGGGGAAAAAGGGTCTTTTTAAAAATATCTTGGAGTAGCTTTTCATATCCCCACCAGGGGAAGGAAAGAGCAGAAACAGGGGACTCAGGGGGCTTGGGGATTGTCGGTGTCTCCTCTCTCAAGAGCTACTCTGAAGTGGCCTGACTGAAGCCGTGCCACACTGCTAAAACTTCTGCCTTCTCCCTAACGAAAGCCCTTTGGTCTGCTACATCCACAAGGCAGACAGGGAGAAAGGAAAAGAGGGTCCAAATGCGGGGTGAAGCTTTGCTCGGTGGGGTGCCTAATGCCTGCCCTAACTGAAACCCAGACACAAATGGCTAAGCTCTAATACCCACTGGTGAGGACCAGCTACAAAGGTATGCAACATACTTCTGAGAAAACAGCTGGAGCTCCTGGACCCAGGGCCCATTAATGGGACCATTCAGGCCCCTAGAGGAGGGGAGGGAGAGCCTTTCTGGAATGTACACCTCTCTCCAAAGAGGCCCACAAGGGAGGAAGCCACTTAAGGAAAAACAAAGAGGCTGGAGAGGAGGAGAACGAGGCAGAGGAAGATGGAAGAAACCAAGCATGCATAGAGACCCAAGGTATGAGTTTGTCTCCAGAGACCTGAGCTCAGGATGACAGGAGGGGCCCTACTCCTGCGCGTGCGCACATGGAGGAGGGCTGGTTGGCAGGGCGGGGGAACCATGGTACTCACCCTGCGGCCTGCTTCGTTATTGTGCAGGTTCATAAGGGTGCGTGCGCTCTCATAGGAGCCCTTGGCGTAGATTCGCTCCCGCTCTCGTGCGTCCACGAATTCCTTGGCGAAGCGGTAGCCGTAGTCGATGTTGTCTCCACAGCCGCCCCACAGCCAGTCCCGAGGCAGGTCCTTAGGGCGCGCAGCTCGGCTGCAGCCGCAGGTGGACAGCTCGCCCTCGCGGCAAGCACGGCTCATGGCATTCACCACCCCAGCTGCGCTCACCGCGTATGTGAAGGCTGTCTCTCGGCTGCCTGCGAGAGAGGGGAGGGTGAGGGGGTCACTAGATTGCCTGCCCCACGCAGAGGCCTAGATCTTGTTCTGTGAATGTGTGTGTGTGTAGTGGCGGCGGCGGTGGTGGGTGCTAAGAAGTCCTGGAACACCCTGGCCTGTGCAGCTGGAGAAGGCTGTGAGAGTCCAACACACACCAATCCTTGGGGGGGGGGTCCCCAGTACACAAGTCCCTGAACCCAGTTGTGGAGCTGGGAGAAACCACTTGTCAAAACACAGGAGTAAACAGTACTCAGGCCCACTGAGGGCAGAAAGACACCACACACACACACACACACACACACACACACACACACACACACACACACACACACACACACACACACACACACACAGGACGGCTCCCTGGAGAGAGGAGAGGGTGCTTCAACACACAGCAAACCTGAATTATTTAACTAAAGGAGGAAGAGCACCCCAACATGCTTCAGCTGCTACTGGAGCAAACAAGCAGAGATAAACCTCAAGCCAAACTCTCCACACTGGACCCCACCCTGAAACGCACACCCAGGCCTGGACCCACCTTGGGGCAAGGATGGATCGGGTCACACACAGACACAACAAATAACAAAGGAGACCAGGATAGCTGCATCTGCTGGGACATTTCAGAGCCTAGTCAGGACCTCAATGCTGCTGGATTGATTTTCACTAAACCCCTTTGAAGATACTCAAAACGTCTTATTTCCAAAAAAAATGCACGTGAAAGAAGTCATTGAAGAAAAGCTCCGAGCTGGGCTAGACTTCCTTACGCTTGCTCTAATGTTGATATCATTTTCTTCTTGAACAGAACAGAACTCTAAGCCAGGCTTAGAGGCTTCTGCAAACCTCAGGTCCCCATCCTCGGCCAGACATTGCCTGGGGGCCTCAGTCAGCTTTCACCTGGCACCCTCCCTCTGCAGCTGTAGCCCCTCCCCCCACCGTCTGGGTTCTCCACTCCACCACCCCTGCAGCAGTTCTAAACCTGCCCTGAATCTCTCCTTTGAGAGCAAGTGGTTAAAACAGCCTCCTGGTTGGTCTTGGTACCCCATCTACGGCCACGCCTCACCCCCTGGCTCTCCTGCCCTGTATCCCTTACCTACATAGCCTTAGCCTCAGAGTGGTGAGATAACAATAAAAAAGGAAAAGCAAACAGACTTAGGGGAGATGGGAGCAGGGGTGAGGAGTAGAAAGTGTTCTTCCCTCGGATGGGAGAGATTATTTCCCCCACAAACACTCATGGGAAGCCCTGTTAGCAGAGACCAGCTTAAAGTCCGACTTGCATACAGAGGCGGTTCTACGTGTAACAAAGGTGTTTGATAAAACACCTGCACCATGAGAAAGATTAGCGTTCTGCCCCCTGGATGAGGTTGGGCCTGGGTTTGGTCTCAAGATGGGGCCTCCCTTTCAAAATCAACTGTAAAATATGGGTAGTGAAATGGATGCCCATGGAATAAAGGTCCCTTGTGATACTCAAACCCCTTGTACCAGACGGGGCTTCTCATACATTTAGGAAGCTTGCTAGCATTCTTTATGGGCGCGGGGCAACAGGAAGACAGCAGACCTCAGCAGGACCCCGTCAGGCCCAAGGAGAAGGTCTATCCAGGAGGGATGCTCCTGCTAACCCTGGTGCCTACCCTCTCCCCGGAAAAGCTCTGTCCCACAGCCCATTGAGGCCATTTGTGATCCACAGGAAGGACCATGGCTTCAACTCACACAGGCTCTCTCCCCTCCCACACTTAACAATGAAGAACTTCACAAGTGTGCTAGTGGTTGACAGGGGGATATCCATCCAGAAAGTTCCAGTGGGGCTTTCCATCTGTCCAGTTCAAATTAGACAGCAGAGCACATGGGGGAGTGGAAATAAATGAGGAGGGTGGGAGGACAGATTACAGGGAGTTATTTGGAGATTAACACTGATAACACAGAAAATGCTGTGGCCTGGACAGGAGATTTGTGGAACCAAAGTGTTGTGGATAGAGGAAGAGGAGATAAAAGGATCCTCTGAGGACAGAGGACGCCATCCCTCAGGTACACGGAGCATGAAGGACTTTTATACAAAACACAAATCACCCTTTCATCCAGAATGCAAAGCCTGGTGCAGTCTCTAAGCTAATTGTTGACTTGTGGGGGAAAAAAAGCATCAGTTTGAAAAGTGCTGTGCACCTATCTGGCCACCCTGTTGCTCATTTGGTTGGGTCTCTGTCTGCATGAAATCTATTCTGACTCAGACCCTCACATCCCTTAAAAATGGTGCCTTCCTGACATCTCTTCACAGTGCAGAAACAAAGACAAGAGAGAGACAAAAGCTGGAAGGAAAGGGGGACACGATGAAAAATGAGAATGTTTCCAAAATGCAGCCTGGGCGCTTCAGGAAGCAACTGTGCTCAGTGCCTCTAGGCAACTGGCACCTTAGAAAAATGAGCCCACAGAGGGGTCAGAGGTAGCAGCAGGAGCTCCTCACACACTGGCGCCTCGTGGGATCACATTATTGTCCACATCCCTGGGGTCCTGGGGGTTTGGGGTGACATGGACATACCTTGGGCACCTAAGGTGTTTTCAACTGTCCCTAAGTTCACTGACTTCAACCAAAGCCGGAGTCAGGGAAAAGAAGGTAAAGATACTTTCCCGTTCTTAGGTCCAGTCCCTGTTCCTTCTCACCCAGAAAAATCAACTCTAATTTTTCTGCTCTAATTTTTTTTCAAATAATTAAAAAGTCCCACCTAACCTTCCAGATGGCTTTCTGCTCCAGGACAACCAGGCACGTGGGGATCTCTGGCCACTGGGGATGCAGCCTGTGTTTCTTGGGGCATCAGATGACCTATCCATGATACCCATCATTCTCTCCCCCCCCCTACACACACACACCAGGCTATGAGAGAATGGGACTCACACAAGCCCCACAACCCAGACCCCACCAACCCAGTCCCCATGCGGAGTAACACAAGGCCAAGGACCAAAGAGGGTACTGACAAGGGATGATTAAATGCAGGCATTTGGGGTGTCAGGCTTTGGGGAGACAAGCACTTTGAATCTTGGGCCACATTTAAAATGAATCTCCAGCAGTACTTAGATTAGCTCATCAAATAAGAGCTTATTCAATACACTGAAGCCCAGAGCAGGCCACATGCTGAGGATGAGGAGGGGATGTTAACCCCTCTGTGTGTGTGTGTGTGTGTGTGTGTGTGTGTGTGTGTGTGTGTGTGTGCGCGCGCTGCTCCAAGCTTCCCCTAGCGTTTTTTTTTTTTTTCAAATTCCAGTCCCTGTGAGACAGCAGCGGTCCTAAGGCTTGCCAGGCAGTTGCAGTGCATATAAGTGGGAACACTGAAGCGACTTTTTTTTGATAGTTCAGAAGGGGGTTTTTAGCTCCTTTCTTGTAGTATCAGAAGGCAGAACTAAGTCTCTACCCTGTCCCCCAAGCGTCTACCTTAAGGCAGCCTATATCCAGGAACCATCCCTAGTCCCCCAGGCTTAGCTAACCCAGTCAGACCCCCAGGATATACATTAGCACATTTTAATCATTGACAGAAAGGACAAAGCCCCATGAACCCAGCAGGCTGGGGCTACAGACTGTTCTCCCACTAGATTAGAGGAGTGGCTTCCAAACCTGTGTTATTTTAGTTTATGAAGTCCCTTGGCTCAAGCATCCACCGACAACTCATTTTTTGTTCTCAATGAAAGCACTTTTCAGGGTTTTCTTTCAAAAGTATTTTATCCATCTGTGATGGATATTAAGCCAACTTTTTTTTTTTTATCTCCGGTCAGTATAAACAGTTAATTGCCTTGATAAATTGCTTCTTACTTTTGGAGTCACTGCAGTCATATTAATTATAAGGGCTTGTTTGCATAAAACTACAGAGACCTAAAATATTCACACTAGAAAACACACAGAGCCCATCTGTCAAGTAGGATTCTAGACTATTGCAGAAAACCACAGATAAACTGAGTTTTCTTTTTTCCTTTTTTTTCCTTTTGGTCAACTTTAAATGCTGTCTCCTCCCTGAGTGGATCAACAAATTCAACGATATATTATTTAACATTAAAACTCAAGCTGCAAGCAAAACACTTAAAACTGTTATTGCAAAGTTTCTGGGATGAAAGCTTAAGTGTGTATTTTTCTGCCGATTGTCGAAAATCGCACACATAAATTGTATCACTTCTTATTAAAATTCTTTCTGGGACTAAAAATAAAGCTTTTAACTTTATATATCTCTGTAGCCTCAGGAAATGTCTATATTAGGAAAATTAAAACCTTACTGCCGGCATTGCCAACGTTCTGGAAGATGACAACTTGGGCCATTTGGATAGTGCTTAAAACACTTCAAACCATCAGAAGAGCCTCTGGATTTAAATGGTTCAGCTTTCCTCCACCAACTTTTTGGTAATTCAAATCAAGTATCCCGCTTCTACTTTTAACAAAATGCACTGTACAAAAAACCGAAGTGTAGCAGGGAATGGTGGTATCTGTGGTGTCCCCCCTCCTGAATTTTATTTGCTCAAGGAGTTTATAAACTAGAGATCAGAGATGGGATCAGAATTAATGCCGTTCTGGATAATGACAAAAAAATCCTCAAGTCATAACCCAAGCTGTAAAGCAGACACCCCCCCATCAAGCATCCAGGCAAACACAAAGGCCTCCTTACCTATCTGCATCACCCTGCCAAAGACAGAGGTGTTGTCCACCGTGCTGCAGTTCCACCTCCGGTGCCGGAACTGGTACTGGCACTCCTTGATGCCTGTCTTCGCACCTTCCCCGATGTACTGCATGTGGTCCTGATACAGGTGGCACAGTTTCTTCTGCCCTTGAGAGAGCCCTGCCAGTTGGCTGCAGAGGGGCTGCGCACCTATGATGTACACCTCCGACATCTGAACAGGGTTATTCATGCCTAGCGACCTGCAAAGGGAGGGGGAGATGTGCGCTCAAGATTTACACGGACTCTGGGGTTGGCTGCCCACCCCCCCACCACCAACACCTCCCTGGAAGCCTGTCAGCAGTACAGGTCCTCAAGCATACAGATGCCTTTTCTCCCCTCCTGTTTGTCCGCACGACAAAGAATGAGAGAGGCTTCATAGAACGCCCCTGTTTAAAGTCTTTACTAAGAAAACAGAGGTTATTGTGTAGTCCCCACCGGGCCATCCGTCTCTCCCTCGTGTTTTCACTGCCTTCCTTTCCCGTCACCATGTATCTGAACCAATGTTTCTGAGACTCACTAAGAAAAGGGGGGGGGGGGGTGGAGGTTTTTTCACAAAGTGGATGGATCTGCCTTAAAAGTCCAGGAACATGAAAAGTAAAGAGATAGCAGCACCTTCCGATGAATGGAAGAACAGAGGGCTGTCTGTACAGACTGAGGAAAACCACCCGTGTTTTCAGACACGGTCAAAGGGATCCTTATGTGACCGTGAAGCATCCAGGACAGGAATTCCAGTGTCTAGAAGTCACATTTGACAGTCAGAAACACGCTCTTGCTTTCCCAGCGAGAAAGCATCCAATCCAACTCCCTGGGTACTTCGCAATCCAGAGAGAAGCCTCATTTAGGGACACTTTGACTACTTCAAGTTCATCTCCTTTTGATCAAATTTCAAGTGCAAGCTAAACCTTGGGGTTTAGCCGTCTCCTAGGACTCTACTAGTTCAGACACTGTGGATTAATAACCTCAAATGACAGAAAAATAAAAAGGAAACTCACTTTTTGATTTTTACCTAGAGGTGGCAAAAAGTCGACTTTATGGATTAGTGTATCTCCCTTTTGTTACAAGAGGTACTGCAGGCCCACAGTTCAACAAGAGACTCAGAGAAAAAAGCTGAGATTTATAGAGTTGCCCCCCCCCGTGGAACTGAGTACATGATTTACAAAGTTAGCAGGTTGCAAGAAAATTCATATTTAAAAGGCATATAGAACATATATGCATCTATGTTAGATAAAAGCACCCAGTCTCGCTTTCCAACTTTCAACACTGTAGTATAATACAAGTGCACTTTTACAAAGAGGAAAGAGTAGGCACACAGAACCAACTTACCACCAAGAATTAGCTTCTATTACGACCTGGGCGAAGGAGAAAAATGTGGCCAAAGCCATTAGGAAGAACTTGGAAGACATTGCACCTCCAGCCGTCCCCAAAGCCACTCCCGGGCTTAATATTCCAATGGACTTCTGGAAAGGGAAGAAAGGAGCAGATGTTTATTGCCTTCGGATAGTTTTCAAGCGTACCAAGTTTAAACAACGGAAACATCCGAGGTCTCTTAAGTTTACTGTTGACTGTGCTTCTCCGTGAGTTTTTTTGATGGCAAGATATAGGCAGTTTCTTTTTCTAAATCGATCCACCCACGCAACCTCACCAGGAAATCTTATTTCGCTCGGTTCCTGCGCGCGGGGCACGCCAGCGATTACAAACATGTCTCAGTGCTGTTGAGTCAAAGCCTGGGTGCCAGGCTTCCTGCGACTTCCAGCCCCGCACTTCCCCCCCTCTCCCCAAGCTTCCCTCTAGTTTCCCGCTGCACTCGCTGGGTCCCTCCTCGGGAATTCACTCGGGAACCCGCCGCCACCTTCGTCCTCTGCCAGACCTGGGCCGATGCAACAAGTGGAGCCGGAATTAATTCCATGGGCGAGAGGAGAGCGAAGGCGAGTGGAGCACACAGCCGAAGGCTGCCGAGGAGGCGGGGTGGCCAGCGCGGGGGTGGGGTGGGGGCAGGACGCGGGAGGGAAGGGCAGGGGGTGGGGGCGAGGCCCCAGGGACCAGCGCGCGCGCGAGTGCCCAGCTGGGAAATGCAGCTCCGAATTAACATCGTATGTTTCATAATCAGTTTACGGGGCCGATTTGGGGAAAGCCATTTCCAGATGGGGAAGAACAGCCTGGGTTTCCTTTAGGATCTGCTTCAGCCTGTTTGGGGCGGGGAGTAGATGTGGTTGGGGGTGTAAGGGATAATGAATGGGAAGAGAGGGCTGCTCCCCTACCCAGGGAACCCGGAAAGCCTGCCCTCTCCTGCCAGCAGCCTCTTCTCAGTCGGAGAGGAGCGATAGGTCTCCGGTGGAAAGAAGGGTCCGGCTTCCGTTCTTTTAGGAGTGGATCTTTTTTTCCCCTGCCCTTCCCTTTCCTTCTCTCGGACCCCATTACTTTGCTCTCCCTCTAGCCCCCGCGTCAAAGCAGCTGCTGGGGGGGGTGCACAGAGGGCTTGGTGTTTCTCTTGGAGTTGTCCCCCATGTTTCCATCGCACCACTGCGAGCCTGTGCCTTGAAATACACCGCCACCCTGCCTCCAGCCTAGGCTCTCTGGCCCAAGTCGGACTCGGTTCGTTTAGTTCCAAAAGGCTGGCAAACCGGCCGGCCGAGGAGACAGGTCTCCCAGCGGAGCCGGAGATGCACAAGCTCCGAAGCATCGGCGGCGTCCCCGGCTTCCAGGGCGCAGGGAGCCGGGCGGAGAACTTTCCCTTCCTGAAGACATTCGGGGGGCAGAAAGTTCTGTTGCTGTTCCCACTGGTGACTTTTCCACCTGCAGGCGGCGGCGGAGGGAGGAGAGTGTGGGTCGGAGGAGCAGGTTTCCAACGTCCCCTTTCACATCTCTGATTAAGGGTAACTCTGTGGTGCCCGCAGCCCCCGAGGGAGCGCCTTCCTTTGGAAAGGCAAGAAAGGTGAACCTCCTCCAGGCGACGGAAGGGCCCTGCCGAGGCCAGCTCCGTAAAACGGATGAAGGGGACCCTGTCGTCAGTAGAAACTCTAAAGGGCCCCGAAGCGCGCGGTAGCTCTCCCTTGCGAGCCACCCCTTTGGCTTGGACACCTCCGGGCTCCTGGTAGAGGAAATGCTTATGTGCTTCCCAGCGCCAGCTAACCAGTGCTCCGAGCCGCGGCCGGGTCGTCCCCAAAGTACCGCAAAGCTGGGGGCGCATCCTGGAGAATGGAAATCTGGAGTTTCCCCAGTCTAGGAGAGAAGGTTCAGTCTCCTTCCCTACCCCCGCCTGAAGTGTCAAGTTTCCTCCAGGGGAGGGGTGGGCTTCAGGGTCTGTCTTTGCGCGCGGCCCAAGCTGCAAAGACTAGAGTGGAGGTTGAAACCATTCTCGAGAGTGCGCGCGCGTACACACACACACACACACACACACACACACACACACACGCACGCACGCACGCACATACACTTGTGCACACTTACACACACGCGTGCATAGACATACACGTTCCGAAGGGCTTCAGTTCTCAGATCGCGGCGGGCCTCGCTCACTTCTGGAGCTTCACAGCGGGCGGGGCGCGCGGGGCGGGGCGCGGGTGGTGGAGAAATTGATAACAGATTCGGCGGATTACAGGGAATCTCTTTGTTAGAGCCGAAACCGCACAAACCGAACCCTCTGCCGGCCCGACGCCCCCAGGGCAAATCCACCAGTTCCCAGAACCCCCGCCAACTGCGAGTGTAGCCACCCGGTTTCCTCAACTCCGGTCTCTTCCGCTCCGGAGTAGGGGTGTCCCAAGGAGAACGCCAGGAAAGCCCCGAGTGCAGAGGCTGCCTTGAACCCCCTGCACTTGCCTGGAAACACCTCGGTCTTCTTCCCTCTCCAATCTGTCGCAGCCCTCACAAATCTGAGCGATTCAAGGAACTCACACCGAACTCACTAACGAACACCTCCACTTGAAAGGGTAAAAACATCCGTCCGGGATGGGTTTAGCAGAGATGGGAGCAAAGAAGACGGTGTGAAAGGAGAACTTTCGTCAGACTGCCGCAGCCGGGCTAAAACAAAAGTTCTGCTCAGAGTTATCCACAGAATGAGCCAAATGTTTTTCCAGCAGGGGCCCGGGAAGGCAGACCGAAAAGCGGGCGCATCCGCGTGCAGAGGAGGTTGCGGGCTTTTAAGAGGTGCAGCGCAGGGGTGGGTGAGGTAAAGGATAGGCGTCCGCCGGACTCAAAACCAGAGCAGCGGGATCTCGATGATGCTGCTGCCTTCAGGATGCACGAGATCAAAGATGCAGACTGCAGTCCTGTTCTAAAGGTACCCACGCGCACGACAGGGAAAAGAGGACTTTCTCGGTCTAGAGAGCCACAGGACGATCGCAGAAGAGTCCAGTTACCAAGTGCAGAGACAGGCGGTCCCTTCACACACACATTAAAGAGACTAGGCAAAGGGTCACTCCCCCCCGGGGGGGCGGGCGGGAGTGACCCTACCTCACTGTATGGTCATTGCCTTCTGCTAGACTACATTTAGGGCCCAAGTCTGGGAGTGGAAATGATGAGACATGCCAACTAGGCGGAAGAGAGTGACCCAGGCTCCCGGTGGCGAAAAGGAAGATGGGAAACTCCCAGAAGATCTCCGTTCTTGAAGAGGTAGAAACTGAACTGTGTTCCCCGGTCTGCTCTTTCTCTGAAGCAAGAAGACGGATGGAGAAGCTTGCGGGAAGGAAACGCGGTTGCAGACACAGACTTGGTTCCTGGGCTTCAAGAATGGAACCGAAGAGACCCTGAAGAATGACCAGCAGGGGTCCACTTAAGGGGGCGTAGACAAAGGAAGCCTTGGTCCCTACTTCTCCGGCCTGGGCCCAGTTGAACTACAGTTGACCCACACCGTGAATGCCGGTGGTCATGGCACTGTGTATGCATGCGCGAGTGTGTATGCACACGTGTGTATGCACACGTGCAGCAGGCGATAATAGCCAGTGATACAAGCCTGTGGTTGTCTGCAGCTGCAGCCAGGGCAAGGAATAGTAAGTACAGCAGCGACCCAGACTGGCTAGGAGGTCGGACAACAGCGGCGGCGACAGCACAGGAGAACACTCTAGCTTGAGTCGACCCCCTTTTCCTGAGCCTCAGCACCCCAGGGCTCTTCAGGACCAATAAACAATTACCTCTTCTAACTTAGCACAGACTCTTCTGTCCAAACCTGAGTTGAGCATACGCGGGGGGGGTTGAGAAATTAAGCATCAGTTCAATCCCAACTTTTACGGGGATTTTTTTTAAATAGAAGAAGTTTATAGACAGAAAGTCAATCTATATAATACATACAGAGGCTGAGAGAGTGAGAGCAACACGTATCCAAGACCACAGAAAGAAACAGAAAGACCAAGGCCACATCCGAGGCCTCCTATGGGTGACACTCCCTCTCCAATGACCAGAAAGAGTAGGAACCCTTCGCCCAATTGCCCGGGACCCCCTTGCTGGGTTACACCTATGGCCCTTTCCTATTCTCAACTCTAAGCAACACAGATTGTCCCCTGGCGGTGGTCTCAGAGGTGTCCTGGTGGGTTGGTCGCCAGGGAAGCAAACTGAAGGAATGGAACTCGGAGGCGCCCTACTCCCGGATGGCCAACAGGGGGCAGCCGGCACCGCGCGGTCGGTTAGAAAAGAAAAAGGTCGGGTTAAGGCTCCGAGTTATGCGGGCGCAGAGCGCACCCCTTAAACACAAGAGGGGGGGCAGGAGCTTGCTCTGGGCCTCCGGATCTTAAGCCGAACCGCAGAGAGGAAGACTAAAGCCAGCTTGTCCAAAACTTAAGAACAACTGATCTCCAGTTCATCCCCCCCACCACCGCGCCCCCCAAAGCTGAGCAAGGGTCCCCACGCGCCCACCCACGGTTTCTGGGTACTCACGACATTGTCTCCTCCACCTCGCACCCCCCCCCCCCTCCAAAATCTACCCTGATGGAAACTGTCTTGAAACCAAATCTGACTAGGAGAGCGGCGGATGTGCTAATATCAGCCGGAGGGCAAAGGCTGAGAAGTTGCGACCTCCCCGCAGGGCCCAAGTATTTCCCAAGAGCGAACTGTCCTTTTAAAGTACGGCCAGGGAGCAGCGGTTCGGACCGGACAAGGAGAGGGAAACAGGGCCTGGGGCACCAGCGTTTAGAACCCTTTCTTTTAGGGAAGAAGGTTGCTAGCTTTTAAGGAAGCATCTTCGTTCTGATTTCCATCTTACTTTCTAGAGAGCTGGAAACCGAGATACGAAGTATAAATGGAAATCGTTACAGAGACGTGGAGGGCAGACAGAGGAAAAGTTGTTTGGAAAATTGCTAGTTATATTCCAAGACGAAACGTTAACCTTTCTTTCTTTCTTTCTTTCTTTCTTTCTTTCTTTTTTTTTTTTTTTTGTAAAAGTGAACTCTCGGTGACCCTCAGAGTGTGTGACTCGGCTTTAACATACAACTGACAATTAAAACAAACAAGAGTTCACAAACTAAACCCCCGCCCGCTCTCACAACGCAGAGGCCCTAGAGCCTCTCTAAAGCACTAGGCTGTCTCCGCTCTGGGGGGGGGGGGGGAGGATTAAAGCCACTAGGACCACTACTCCCCGCCCCCCACTGCTGCAGTAAAGGGCTTGAGCTCACCCAGAGGCCGCTAATAATGCTAATAACGCGACCCGACTCCCCGCGCGGGGTGCGCGCTGGCCCCCCGCCAGGCACTCTTAAAGGCGCAGGGGCCTGGAACTCTCGGGTTACTCGACCTGGACGGCCAGGAACCCGGCCCAGGTCGGAGGTTGGGGGTGGGGAGTGCATTGCTCCGGGGTAGGTGGCCCCTAGTTTCCCTAGTCCCGAAGCCGCTTCTCCTAATCTAGGAGTCCCCTTTCCTCTCAGGTCTCACGGTGCCCATGAAGTGAGCGGTTGATAAATAATCTGATGAATCCAATCATCCTGTTGCTGAAATTACACATAGTAAACTACACTCCAGGTTCTCGGGATAAAAAAGGAACGCCCGTCCATGACCCCACTGCTTTTCTTGCCCTCGCTCTTCTCCATAGTTGAAAAGATTTGAATAGCCGGTGCGAAAAGTCTCCAAGGACGCAGAGGCAGTGTCCCCAGGGCAAGGGACGAAGAGATAGGAGTCCCGCCTAGCGATACTGGGGTTTAGCTTTCACTAGGCAGTCGGAGGAATGGAGGGGATAGGAACAAATGGACAGAGTTCAGTTAACTTAAAAAAAAAAAAGTAGCGAGCGTCGGTGCGCAAAGAACACTTACCTTCATGGCGAGGGGGAAGGGGCGCGCGGGGAGGAAGTCGCCACCCGGGTGAAGGCGGCCGAGGAATCCAAGCGAAGCGGCGGGGTTAAGCCTAGGGGGACGATCCAGAGTAGGGCTGCCGAGTCCTCCTGGGTGCGTCGGGTGGGCGCAGCGACCCGGAGCAGAAGCGAGCACTGGCGCCCGGGCTCCGGCTACAGAGCTGGTGGAGCCTGGAGATGCGCCCAGGAACCGAGAGGGCGCCGGCGCGCGCGGGCCAGCAGCAAGCGCAGGGCCGAGGAGCCGGGACACGGTGCAGGAGCCGCGGGTCCGACGAGGGCGCGCAGGCGACTGTTCCGCGGCGAGGCGCTCCCTCTCTAACGTCCATCAGCGACGGCGGTAATTAGGGCTTTCCAACCCCAAATGTGGGCGTGATTGTGCAAAAGACTTTACAACAAATAATAAAAAAAATTCTTCACAAGAGGGTGAAAAAAATGCCCCACTACTCAACTGTGGCCCGAGGCGGGGAAGGGGGGGCGATCCCTGAGCCCAAGGTGCCCCCAGTTCATTCACACCACGAATTCTGCAGACTCTTGGCGGCTCACGCCTCCTGATCGCCAGCTCCTCCTCTCTGGGTCTGTGGCCGAAAACGTCTGCTTCCAGGGGCTGCTCCTGCAGCTGAGTTAGTTAGTGGACGTCTGTGTACACAGAGACACACACCCAAACACACACGCGCGCGCACACACAAACATGCAGACACGCGCGCAAACAGAGGGACAGAGAGAGAGAGAGAGAGAGAGAGAGAGAGAGAGAGAGAGAGAGAGAGAGAGAGAGAGAGAGAGAGAGAGAGAGAGAGAGAGAGAGAGAGAGAGAGAGAGAGCGAGCAGCAGCTTTGGGGCCACAGAACAATCAGGCACGCATGGCTTTTTCTCCGGGAGATGCCGCTGAAATCGCACAAGTCGCCATCAGAGCTGCAAGAGTCAGCGCCAAATTTTGTCCTTTCATTTTAGGGTCTGGCAAAAAAATAAAAAAAAAAAAAGAAAAGAAAAACGGGAGCAAAATGGGTGCAAAGTCGGCCCTGAACTTTCCACCGCGCAGTGAGTGCCTTGAGGTCGTTGACGGACAGCTAGCCCGTGGGGAACGTTGGCTTCCCCCTTCTGGTCCCCTTCCTTCTTTCTTTCTTTCTTTCTTTCTTCGGGTAACCTTCTTTCCACACCACACCACCCCCTGCCTTTCCAGGACGAACGGAGCAAGAGGACGGCGGGTGCGGGGTGGGGGTGGGGGGTCCCCGGCGGCGACTCAGCTCCAGAGGTCCATGGCGGTCGACGCTGCCCACCTCCTCGGTAGCGACCCGGGTCCGAGGGGCGCTAGTGGGGCCCAGAGGAGGCGGCGGAAGGAGCTCACCAAGCAGCGGCCGCACAAACCGGACTCCGGACGGCGGCGGCGGCGGAGGCGGCGCCTCGGAGCCTGCAGCAACTTTCCAGGCGATGCGGTGCCCCGCAGACTGACTGCCCCAGCGCGGGGACCGCGTGCCCCCCCAACCCCCACCCCCGGCCCTCCTGGCCAGCTCCCTCACTTTCACCCTCCCTCGCTCCAGACTCCTCTTTCCCTTGGTGTTCCCAGTGAAAAAAAAGTATATATATATATATATAATTTTTTTTTAAAGTTGCAGAACCAAACCCGGCTGGAGAGGCAAAGGGGGGTGGGGGGGGGAAGGGGAAAAAAAGTCAACTTTGCCTATGCGCATGCGTGGTAAGGCTGTCCTATGACAAACTTCGAAGGATTTTAAAGCTGTACTACGGGGCCCGGGGTGCCGGGAGGCGGGGTACGCTCCCTCCTTGGGCCCCCTCCTCAAGGCTCCCCATCCCCCAGGCATCTGTTGAACGACGTCCACCCGGCGCTGCTGCCGGCCCGCCTCCTGACTGGTCTAGCGTCTTCCAAAGCCATCGACCAGCTCGGGAGGCGGAACCTCAACTTTCCGAACCAGACCCCCCTGGTTCACCTCTCCCAAGCTGCACTCACTGGGCCTCTCCAGAGACGACCTCCCTGGCGTGGACTCTGCTGGGGACGCCTCCTTCTTACTCCCCAGGGAGGGCGCTTAAAGGCTGGGCTTGCAGGGTAGGGCTGGCTCATGCGTCCTGCAAAGTCCCCGGTGTCCTAGACGTTTGGCAGACAGGTTTGCTCCGCTTACCGAGGCCCTGCCTGGCAAGAATGGAGGTCATGCCGCCGCACCCCCCTACCCCCACCCCGATCTAGGAAACTGCTTCAGGTGAGAAGGCTGCAAAGTGTAGCTGAACCGGGATTCGGACTCGGGAACTTCTAGAGACTTGTGGATACGTGAGCTTGTTACGATTTTCGACTGGGCAGAGTTGGTGGCTGTGCCCCGCCCCACAGCCTACAGCATGCCGAGGGTGCCACACTCGATGTCCACACACACACACACACACACACACACACACGTCAGTTTTCTTCATCCACCGGCTTGCCCTTGACCCGGACTTGGCACCGGCAGCTTGGGTTTGCGCCTCTGCTTCCTCACCCCACCCCCCAGCCCTGGGAGCCCACCTGAGAGCGTGCAAAAGCCAGGGATGTTCCGGCTCCAAGATACGTGACCACACTACCATCAGCCCAGCCAGATTTGTGCCCCCTGACTGAATGCCTCCCCATCACTTGCGTCCCTGGTCCCCTTGCTGGGAACACAAACATGTTTTTTTGTGAACTATGCAAACTTCAAGAGATGGATCTGCTCCACCCCCGCCCCCCCAGCTCCCTTACTGGTTTTCTTTTGCTAAGGATGCTTGCCGCCCCAAGGGAAGCCAGAAGTTCTCAAAACTCCTCTTCAGCTCCTGGTCTCCTCCTTTTCTCCCACCCTTTCTAGGCTTTTCCCCCTTATTGATCTGTGGGTACTTCACGTTTTCTTTCCACATAGGTTTAGATTTGCACACTGGAGGAACAGGAATTTTTTAAAAATGCGGGATTTTTGCATCAGGAGAATTGCTTCCAGCTCTCTCCCTTCCCTTTGCTTCCCGTCCAGCTCTTCAGCTCTGTAGCAGCTGCAAAGAAATTCCCATGCACCACCACCACCAGCAGCAGCAGCCCAGGTGTCCCCAGGCAGCAAGCACCTCGGCTCTGCCCTGGGGTAGCACATCTCCAGGATATAATAATTCTCCCCGGTGACTGTTGAGGACAAGCAGCGAGTAGTTAGGAACTGTGAACAGAGCTTCCCAAAGGTCACAGAAGCCACCTGACACCCAAGTGGCCTGGATTCCAGAGACAGGCCACATAAACGAACAGGGTAGAGAGAAAAATCCCTCCCACTTACAGAGCAAAACCACTGGCTGCCCAGGCCTGAGCATTTCCTTTATTTTACTTAGCTGTTGTCTGAGTTACCTGGGTAATTGCTTGCCTCTCTAAAGTTGCCTTTGTGAATTAGATTCAACCTCAATGGTTCATCCCTTAATTTTCTAGTGGAAGATGAAGCCAAGAGTCACAGTTTCCCCCCTGCACCCCTCTAGTTGTTCATAAGGCCTCTCGGCCCCTCCATAGCTTCTGAAACACACACACACACACACACACACACACACACACACACACACACACACACACACCGAACAAACCCAGCCAGGCATTAGATGGTATACTCAGAAGCACACTTAGAATAGAATAGGATGGCTTTGACAGTTGGAGAGTGGTAAGAATGCACCTGGTCCAGGTACTCACCTGTTGCTAGACACTGACTCTTCTAGAAAAAAAAAATCAGTTCTGAAAAACTGAGGTTTTCAAACCCCTTTGTGGCATGCAAATTTTGACTAGACCATTTCTGGCCATTGTTGACTTCACTGTCAGAGAATGTTCATACGTCTCACCGAAGAAATACAACACATTTGATTATTGTCTATTTCCCCAGAGATCAACAATGCTATTTGAGTTATATATTATATTTTATTGCTCGAGAAAAAAATTGGCAAGATTTCCAGCAAGACTATCTGGTCCCAATGACCTCAGATAAAGGGATGTGAACCTCTTGGCTGGTGACTCAATGGTTGCACAGAGCTATACCCCTGGAATACCGAGCTCCAAGTACACAGGACCTCAGCACCATCCTTCGGACATGTGACCTGAACAAACCAGAAATCCCCTCTGAGCCTTTAGTGAGGGGCTGGCGATGGATGCCCTGGAAAGCCTGATCTCCTAAGAGCCAGTCTCACTGTGGGTGCTTTGACGGGGAAACAAAGAGAAACTGGGGAGAGACCAATGCCTCTCCACCTGGGGAGGCTCTCAAAGGACAGCCTCCAGTATGTGGAAGTCCTGCGTCTCCTGGCAGACCATGCCTGCACCAGGGCGTGTGTTCTCAGATTAAGTCATCTGAAGACATGCTGGCAGGGCATCGTCATGCTTCTCTCATTAAAAATGCTTTGGACTCCGCGGAACAAATAAATCAATATTTTCTGGCTGCTTTCCCAACAGGGTTCTTTTTCCCAAAGCACAGTGCAAGATAAGGAATTTATGAACGACGGCATCCGTGTGCCGCCTTTCCCAGCGGGAGAAAGCAGGGCCTGGGTTGTCATTCTGGGAAAAATCTACCCTCCTTTTATGCCTGGCAAATAATGTTTTATGGCCCTGGGTTTATGGCGGGTGTTTTAATGATCTGCTGTAGAAAGCAGGTTTTCTCTCCAGTCACTAGAATTTGTCAAGAGGGCCTGGAGGCCGTAAAAGAGGGCTGGGCCCCAGGGACGAACAGGCCCCATCTTCTGAAATAAACTCATAAAGGGCCCCAAGATGTTTACCTCTTTCCTTCAGAGTCAAGAGCAGGAGGGCTGTGTGAGGGCCCCGCAGATGCAACTCTCAGAAGGGGACAAAGAGGCCGGAAGGGGCCAGGGGTTTCCTCGGCGCCACATGGCCACAGTCAAAGTAATCCCACCACATAATGCCGCCACTGACCACTGGCCCGTGGGGGACAAAGGCTCCCTTGAGGTTAGAGGCCATTTTTGGTTTCTGGGCAGACTCAAGGACATGTCTTAAATATCTCAAGCCAGGCATGGCGGCCATGGGGGCCACATTTAATCCCAGCACTCAGAGGCAGAGAGAGGCAGAGACAGGAGGATCTCTGAGTTCAAGACCAGACTGCTCTACAGAGTTCCAGGACAGCAAGAGCTGCACAGAAAAATCCTGTCTCACAAAAGCAAACACAGAGCAACAAAAACAAAACAACAACAAGCAAAAACAAAGAATCTCAAATTCTATATGCCCTGGGCCTGCTCTCCTCCTACAGCCCTTCCTTGGGTCAGGGTGCTTTCCCGTGGCCCTGAACGGATATTTTTGTCCTGTGTCCTTTGCTGTCCTTTGTTACTTTTGCTTATTGGTTTTAGGGGATAGTAGGGGCAGGAAGGAAAAAGCGTGATTTTTTTGTTGTTGTTGTTGTTCTGACTCTTGATGGCTGAGTGGCCTACAGTAACCACGTGTCCCCATGAGTCTCAGTTTCCCCACATGTAAAGCGGAAATAAGAAAAGAACTAGTGTGGAGCTGTCCCGACCATCAGGACTTTACAGAAGGCCTTGGTCCACCGCGGCCCACCTCTGCCGATGGTGACTGCCTATGAATGGCAGACGCTGTTGATTTCAGCCCCGGTGTGACTGGGTCCCTGAGATGGGACAGGATGCAGACAAGGAAAGAAATACGGCGGGCAATGTCAGCATTATACGACCAGCTATATGGTGTGAGGGGGGGATTCTATAAGGACAGGGCGCATACGTGCTGGGGATAACAGTGCCGAGTGAAT